ACTAATTACGATAATTATTACTTGAATACGTTTACTAACATGGGGAGTAATCAAACATAAAGACGCGTTTGTCATCAGTAACAACACGCTCCCTTGGTTTTTTTACAAAATATGTTCAATTTTCGGAAGGCGTTTTTTTCGTTACACACTGTATGTAATTTTCATACTTGGTAAATCTAATTTTACTGTGAACAAGCGCTTTCTGGCAAAGCTCATTATTTTTAGCAGCCCGTTAAAATAATTGGGAAGCATTTTAATACTAAGCTCGACCCAAATGGGGCTTCCCTGTTCAAACCGATACCAGAATCGTTGTGATAGTGACTTTCGAAAATAAAGATTTTTCAGAAACTTCATTATTTTGAATCTCCAATATTTATACCATACTTCAGTGACCGTTAATGTGATTGGGTTTAACCCCAACCTAATTTTTGCGCGCTACTGCAAATACGGTAACAATCAGACCGTAGAACTAAAATGTCATACAAACACTATTGTTCAAACCGAAAGTATGACGAGCCGGCCGAGCGATATACCCCAGACGGACGACTAGTCAAAAACGAATCACCACGAGAAACGAAAGAGGATATTCCCCTAAAAGAAATTGTGAGCACAGACTACGAGTCATGCATTGACGCGTCGCTTATGATTCAGTAAATCAACTAATGCTTCATTGGTTGATTAGCTTCGGCGACCATATCTAAGAGAAGAATTTCTCAAGGAAGCACACGAATCGATAGCAATCGATAAAGATGCGTTGAAAAAAGAGGATGTGACAATCGAATCAGAAAGTGATGAAGAATTATGGAGTAAAGATATCGAAGACAGGTTTTTTTCATATCTGAATCATTTATTACGAGAGGAGATGACGATATATTTTGCTTTCAGAGGTAAGTTTATTCAGTTAGTTGTGAGTGTAAATCAAGGATTTATTTATGCAGTTTGGTTTTTGAATACATGTAACTATGCATGTCATTCGTATATCGACAGAATTCTAAAAGCATTGTAATACTCTATTTAAGTTTAATAAAATGTGAATCCATTCTATTGTAAATCAACATATCAAGTCAACTTGGAAGGACATAAACTGTAATATTTGCATAACACTACAAATAACTTATTTTTCCCTAGAATTTTTCGTGAAATATAAATCCCATCGAAAAATCAAATTGAAACAACTTGCTAAGGAACAGCCTTCGCAGAAACGTCTCACAACATCTGCAGAAGAGTTAAAATCTGTGAAATATGCGCTGGCGCTATTTGATGATTTTAAGAGAAAGAAGGACGCTGCAACAAAAGAAAAGATTAGTCTGAAGTAGCGAAAGCTGAATATGAACTCCTGAGGATTGATGTCAATATCTCACACTGTAGGATCGTGCAGCATTACCGATTGCTCCATTCAAAGATGCAATACTGACAGCGCTTTGTCGACATCGCGTCATTCCCCCTCTACAGTCACACCGTCGGTTCCCCTGAAACCTGTGATTGTAAGGAGGGTGTGACTGTAGAGGAGGAATCCCAGGATATATGCAATTCATTGTGCTTTCTCCTTAATAAGAAATTCAGTAAGAATTATGCCATGCCCTATCGTCTGCTCCACCCAACAAGTCATAATCTTTTCTAGGAATGGAAATTTAACACTCATTCTTGACTTTCGAGATTAAGATCAATCCATCTATCCTTCGTGACAAGATCTTGCTTACTGTAACTGTGGACCGATCTATATTAATACTATACTTACTATTGAAATAAGATGCAATGTCAGTACTTGTGGCTGTTTGAGTAAATGCAAATCTCATGCTGTAAAGCATTAGTGATTTGAGTTTCTTGCTTGGAGAGGCTATATATATAGACATTTTACCTTTGTGTAAAAAAATGCGCGTTCTCCAATCGTTTATTTTTTTATTTTTACCACGTAATTTTTCTTCACGTGATGTGACTGTAAGGAGGTATATCTACTATTTATCGGTTTCGCTGTGTCTTTGTGATAGGGACTATAAGCGAATTGGGACTGTATAGAGGTAATTATCATGTGACTGTGACATCCTGACGCTACAATTGGTGGGAAGATCGCATTACCTTCATAGCCGTACAGCATTTAAAAGTCGATACGTTGCGACGTGAACATATGCTGTACGACCATAAAAGTGCCGGAAAAAAGTGTCTGAATTATTAACCATAATCTCAGGGAGCATGGCCATTACGCTGATAAATGCACCACCAAATACCATATATTCAAGTGAAACACCTTCACAACAACATACCGGACTTTCCAGTGTTCGTAATATTGCAAAGCATATACAGCCTGATTGTGAGATACATTTTACACCGCCAGTGAGTGGAATTGTGTTCGGCAAGGGCACTTTATATGTCACAGAAAAGTATGCGACTTTGACATTATTGTTGCAAACGCGTGTATGCATGATGATTCAATGTTTTAATATCTCATATTGACTGTGTCTAGTCAGCTATCTTTCTTTTCTCCAATAACACAAACAGGACTTGCTATAGATTATCCATCTATAATAATCCATGCAGTGTCTCGACAAATATCAAGGGATGGTATTGGACCCTGTATCTATATCCAATTGGCTGATCTTTTGCCTCATGTTGGCGCGTTTCAACTGTCATCGATGGACGAAGCAAGTGAAGAAGAAGAAAATGCGGACGAGGATTCTATGACTGAAATCAAAATTGTTCCTGATAACGCTGACATATGTGAGTTGGTGCGCGCTTAGTCGGTGTGTGGCTTTATGCTGGTGTTTAGAAATAGATCCAATTCTCTTTTCCGTTTCCGTAACCGAGCAGTAGATACAATATTTGAAGCACTAAGCGAATGCGCTGCGTTACATCCTGATCAAGATTTCATGGAAGGCGCAAACAATGATAATGCAAACGGGGACTATAGAGAATTGTCCGAGCGTGGAATGGTAAGGACATGAATGGCCATTTCGTGCGTAAGAAACCAAACATTGACTAGTACTTGACTTCTCTCTTACATGACATAGGCAACATTTGCTTACTTGGAATCTATTACTGGATCTCCACCTGAAGCAACAAATCCAGGAGGTTTAGAAGTAAACATGGTTATTGATGATGAAAGATTCCAGGACGCGGATGAAGAGATGCAATGAGACAGTGAACAGAGAGGGAAGTCCGGTCTGGTATAATCGATGTCATCCAATATCTGCATGTTAATTATAATAGTAATAGACCTGTTTGTTAACGACCTGATTATTTCTCTCGCACTTTTGACTGCGAATTTATGTTTACTGTTGTGAATTCCAATTTGAAATGTGTATATCGCACTAAAGAATAATATTCACCATTTATAACATTAACAATGCAACCTTTCATTCCTGATATTTATTCTATTATGCTTGTTGCATCTCTGCATTATTAATAATCGGCGAGCGTTCGTGTTTAAACTTAACTGGTGATGTTTTCCAAACAAGGTGACGAGTGACATTCTTACTTGTTATATTATTACTGCTTTGTGGTGCACCACCAATCGATGTACTGGTTGAAACACGTGATCAGAATGTGTTTATTAAATACATAATTTTTATTTGTGTTCTGGGATTCATTTCTTTTTATTTTTTCGCGCTTTCACATCAACTACAATCGGTTTCCTTTGCAACTTCCAGAAAGAGTCTTCTTTGAAACAGCGAAAGATTTATCGGGAATATAAGCTGCTACATTTGTCCCTAATGGCATACAGAAAAGCTCACGCTGCATTAATTGTCTTTGAGGTAAGACATTTTCAATGTTCTCAACCAATCCTTTGTTTATGAAAGGAAATTTTCTAAACAACTTTTTGTTATGGAAAAGATGTCTCAAAGGAACACTATCCAATTCTAGTTTTGGGAGAGCAGCTGGGATAGGTAAGTTTATCATCAGTAGAAGAAATAAATTTTGCAATATGTAAATGTGAAATTAACTTAATATTTTGAAGCTTCTGTGAATGTAAAAATAGTTTAATTATGACAAATTTAGACATTTATAGTTCAATTTAAATTATTTAGCTGCGCCTAATGAAGGACACAAAACCATGGTTTCAATTATTGCAGTTTCTTTAGACGACTTAGATTTGGTGGCTTACAATTTACAGCAAGAACCCTTACTAGAGCGTAACAAAATAACTGGGCAGACAGTGTGAAACTAATAACTTTATTTTACAATTGAGACAAAAATTTATCATTGGACTTTTAGGCTTTCGTTTTGTTAGATCAATAAATTCAATCCAGTGGTGGTGGTGGGGGTGGTGGGTTTTTCATTCTATAGAAAAGAATGAAGGAAATAGAAAATTGTCTAAGAAAAAAAAAGACGTAATATGCTAACAAAAAAAATATAAAAGATAAATGAAATCATCAAAATTAATTATTCGCTTTTAATCTAACTTCTACTTCAATCGCCAACCAATATTCTAAGAGCCTATCATCAATTCATTTACAGAAATCAATATATTCAAATATTGACTAATGAAGCCTGTAGTCTGCAATTAATTCTTCCTTCTATGTTGGTTCTTAACTCACTATCATTGTTCATTTTGGTATATCCATCTCAAATATCCTTTACAACAATCACTATTCCCCATTTCCACTTGTTCCACCAGCACTCGTATTTATTCCACTTCCAACAGAGCTCTTGGGCAACGGTGCCCACATCTTAATTTTGAACCTCTCTCCATGTCTACTTTGCAAGACTTCGCTAGCCTCGCGAGAAGTCTTAAATATCACCAAAATCGTGGGTCTCTTAGATGTCGACCCCGCAGGAGGAATGCGTTTCATGGTTGCATTTGAGAAATTGACGTCTTCAAGTGAGTCACTTTCAGCAAAATCGTACAGTTCTAATATGTGACCTGGTTGCGGTGGTTTGTTGGCTGCAGGAATATAGATTTCAACGGGAATATACGGAACGTATTAATGTTAGCACGATTGCAAACGTAAGCGCTGAAGATTTTGTTAAGAAATTTGTCAAAAAACAACCCGGTCCTCATAAAACTTTAAAACGAATTCCTTACGAAAAGTTCACCAACATCGATGCAGTGTGAGCATTATAACGAACGACAATACGATAATCTAAACGCATCTCATTCGTAAAATAATTGCTGAATTCCATCAAGTTATTCGTCCAAACACTCACCGTCACTAGGCTTAACACCCTCATAGGGTGCTTGTGCCGAATAATCAAACAACAGTCCTGATTGCTCCTTCTTCTTCCCAACACTACCTGGCGAGGCCGAAACCGACCGGTTATGCATCTGTCCAAACTCCTTTCTCCCTTGAGGCCCTACTGATGATGACGTCAGGCTTAGTGAACGCATCATACTTCCATCGAGTACATTTGCTGTGTTAGTATTATCGTTACTGTTGGTGTGATTATCGCCATTGTTGGTGTTACTGTTACTATGTTTTCTCCGCGGCTGAAGTAGGCTGTTCGATGAGGTTTGCTTGTTGTTTGGAGCGGCTAACCACGTCTGTGACAACACACCTAAATTCCCAGGTGAGACGACTGGGCTTTGGCTTGTAGTAGTCGATAGAGAAACAGATCCTGTATTCGAAATACTCCGCCCATTTCCATTAGGATCAAACAACTCTGTTGACTTTGGCGGTCTTTTATCAATGTCAATAACCCCACTCTGTGCCATACCTTGTGTCAGATACAATCCTTGTTGATGTACCATTCTTGATGTCATATTTACAAATTCTCCCATTCCACCCGGAAATATCTGTGTATTAACACCGTTTCTACGAGATGACATTTGGGGAATAGGCATTATTGGCTGATACAATTGATAGGTAGGAAGAGATTGTTGCATGGAGTAGTCGGAATTAGATGGATGGAAGGAAATATGAGGTGAGGAGACGGAAGTAGGTGTGGTCGCAGATGGCGTCGTTGAAGTTGACCAAGATATGGTTGAGAGAGAATACTAGAAATTGAAAGAGCAAATTGTTTCGGAAATAGATGAGTTATTTGGGAAATTGCATTCGCGTCAAAAGCAACCATTGCAAATAAAATCGCAAATCGTTTTAAAGTACCGGACTATCCCGTTGTTGTTGTTGCTGTGGTTGCTGTGGTTGCTGTTGTTGTTGTTGTTGTTGTTGTTGTTGTTGTTGTTGTTGTTGTTGTTGTTGTTGTTGTTGTTGTTGTTGT